CACTATTATAAGAACTGTTGCTCTGTATGGCCCTGTGATGTGAGTATGTGATATAAATCATTTTTTAATATTTCCTCCAGAAGAAATGTTTTACAAAAGAAAAACAAATGAACATTCTTTATTCAATACTACATTTCATTTTCCTTCCCACCAGAGACCACTGAAACACCCACCCACCTCACATGCATGAAGAAACTCAGTGATATCAGATATCCTATGAGTCAGCATGTCAAGAAAGTTCATCAACAATTTTTCAGGAGACCCAGCTACCTTATCAAACATCCTATGAGTCAGAGAGGCAACAGGATGTAACGACTGCAGAGCAAAGGCCCATTACAGGCAGTAAATTTTCGAGAAGCCTGTCTACTCTTAACTGGATTTCCTGTGTATGACTGATAGAGACAAAAACTTTTATATCCTCCCCTAAAAAATCATAGAAATCTGTTCAATAATTCTGGAAATGAACCATGCAGGGTAGCATGAACTTGAGGTTCGTTGATGTAAATGCACCAAAACAAGACTTGCAAACCAAAAATATTCACTACATAAATTTCCTATGGAGTCGCAAAACTTCTGTATGCCTTTCTCAAAGGTTCAGATAGCTAACAATCCATGTGTTCTACTTCTTGTTACCCGCCCCAAACTAAATGAATTTATGTAAGATTTGAGGCTTTCACGGCGGTGACTATGAAGAAAGCAGTTTTCTGGGATTTGGCACCGTGTATATGTGGTGTTAACCGACGTTTTGGAGGAACGTATCGCCTCCAGCTTCAGGGTAGAAGAAAAAATATAAGAAATCTGCAAGCAAAGAGACCATGAGAACCGGTAAAAGCAGACAAATGAATTTACATGGCCAGGAAACCCCAGTATGTGACATATTTAAGAAAGAAGAAACTGCTACCAGGAGTGAGTAAGTTGTTTCTCACCAGAAGAGGATGACATCACCACCTTCCCCTCTCTGAGACACCAGGATTCTCACAGAGACCACTTCTAACATCACCTCGGTTATTTTCAGTCTTTATTAGACAACTATGGAACAGATTTGAGGCTTTCACGGTGGTGACTATGAAGAAAGCCGACTTCTGGGGTATGGTGCCATGTAGAAATTGTGTTAACCGACATTTCAGAGGAACGTCGGTTAACACAATTTCTACACAGCACCATACCCCAGAAGTTGTCTTTCTTCAACTATGAAACAGTCTCCCAGATTTAGCAATACTCGTACACAGTATGGTATCTGCACGAGCTACAAATGACAGTATGCGCTCAAAATACAAGTTACAGTTTGTGTCATAGCTACAACTCAGCTATATGCTTGTGACTGCCTAATGGGGATGCAGAGGAAGGTTGCTGTCTGCCCACTTCTTGTACAAGCCAAAGTCAGATGTCCCACTGACATAAATCCATTAGTAAAGGTGTCTGAGCAACTAAGCTTAATTCTAGCTATATCACAGAACATGTACAAACCATGAGCAAAATCTGTACCATAAGGTAGAGGAAATTTTGTGTCAAAGCAATATAAAGGATTTGTGGTGGGGCTTGGAGGTTAGACTCCATGCTTTTTTAAACTCAGCAGTACAAAGAGATGATTGTTCAGCTTCCCCTCAAAGAGAAAGATTTCCAAGAACCATGATGGAACATATGTCTTGGTTACCCATCCTGTACTCAGTCACTCTATTGAGATATCAGGGCTCACACAAAATTTAGATAAAAATAGAAAATGGGTAAGGGACAGGTTATGCTAGTATAGGAGCTGTGTGAGTGGATTTTTGTAGAGGGTAGGAATGTGGTGAGTTTTGAAGAAGTACGTAGGTCTTTAAAATTATAAAATATGGAGGAAATTAGTAGCAGTGTTATATTAAGTATGAATCAAAATTAAAAATAACAGTCATCTTATTCATTGATAGGCCCACATATGGAAGAAGATACCTCAATATTTCACAGAAACTACAGATTCCATGTATGTTATTTCATTACTATTATCTTTGATATGACACCAAAGGAGTATTAGGAAGAACGCACAGTGCAATTAAGGAAAACGGTATATGGAGAGTAACTTGATATTATATTTGTCATGTGTATACGTGTGACTATAAATGAGGTTAGGTTTGGTGATTCTATTTATTGCCCACTTACACACACAACTCGTAAATACACTGTACAGATCACTGTCGCAAACAGACTAGTGTCCTCAGTCTATCACAGTCTCCACTAGCTGTTGCCTAGTAACGGGCTTCACGGTGGGTATTTCCCTTACTCTGAGTTCCCCAGCTATCCCCATGCCTCAGCTATCAGCTTCTAACACCAATGGCTCACAATGACAGAACTGCATGTCTCTGACTCACTTCCATGCTGGCAGTCATCTCACATGAACATCCTAGCTTTCTCTTAACCTTGCCCCTTGCTTATAACATCTCAGCAGGACCATGTAGAAAACACTGCTCCTCTGTTGCTGTACTAATGTTGTGTTCATGTCTGTTGGGGTTCCCATGTGACTGCTACTCAACCAGTCCACTGGAATGCTGGTGGCTGCCTAGAAACGGCTATTTCTCTGGCTCTGGCTTCGAGCAAATATGCCACAATATAATGAACTATATATAGTGAAAGTGATCAAATTACAGCAGTTGAGATGGCTGGGACCTTTTCAGAATGCTGGAGCACAACCCTTGCAGAAGTTAACTCTACATAAGTCAGAGGTTACTCGACAAGTAGGCAGGCCTTCTATCATATGGCCAGATTCAGTTGAAGATTTGAAGACAATGAGTATTAGAAGTTGGAGATGAAAGTCACAGGATCAGAACCAGTGGCAAGCAATCATTAAAGAGGCCATGGATTGTAGTGTCCACACAAGTAGGCACCAAAGGTTTGCTGCTAAATGACTAGACCCCGGTTTCTCACCACAAATACCCACATTTAATCCCTGGGCAGTCTGTGTGGAATCTGTGAACGCTAATTTAGTCAGTCACGCAGAAGCTTCTTGTATCAAATCTTCCTGCATGTGTTTGGGCATGCAATGCAATCAACAATCCCAAAGAGCAACAAATTACAAACAAAACCCACACACATCACAACAAATGCCAGAAGTGTTCCCTGTTATTGTATACACATCCCTTGCATCCCCACAGAATGTTCATATTTACAAGATGCTTTCTTCAGAAACAGAGACAACTTGAAACTTCAAAATTTGGTCTCTCATGCAAGGCATCTGAGGGATTTTCGAGGGAAGTGTTCAAGTCTAGCAGAAATTTCATCGGTTTCTCTTCAGTGAGCACTCAGCATTTTGACTTGGATCCTTGGCCTATAATGACCCTATCTGCCTGAATTTATTTATGAATGAATGGATACTGTCTTGTATTTGAAACTGGAGCATCCTGAAATTTTTTCTTCCTTACTTTCCACATGTGAACTTTATACAAACACTCATTTCAATGTGTAATTATCACATGCCATTTTAAAAGAAGTAACATAAATGACAAAATGTTTAACACAGCAGCGGGGGCTTTGGATTATGGTGTGCAAGCATATAATGCATGAGACTGCTTCATAGCAACTACTCAAAAACTGCTGAGATACTAAAACAAAAGTGTAATATGTATGGACTATTGGCCAATGAGATCACTGATGCACTTTGGAGCCCTTAAACAGTCTTCTCCACAACCTTCCTGGCCCACTGTCCCTACTGGCCTAGACAAAGCACCAATTCCCCCTCAGCCTCCATCCCCTATTTCCCCATCCTTTTGAAAACAATGCCATTTATACACAGAAATTCACCAACCTACACAATGTGACCCTGAAGATGGATGAAGCATGTACCATCAAAACACGGGGAACATCACCCACAGCTAGAAAGTGTAACAATCCAAGAACAGACTCACCATCAATAATTCATCACTGTGAACTCTAACATCAGTAAACTTCTATTTAACTCCTAATATCCCAAATGAATGTGCAAGAGGATTCCCTCTAAAGTATAGGACCAATATTCCAATTTCATGAATGAATCCTGGTTTTCTGTATTGCACCATGACTTACTTAGGTCTTTGTTCCATGATATGTAGCATCAAAAATTGAAATCTAGGATCAGACAGCAGCAATATAAATATGAAGATAAAACTGCTTTTGAAAAGTGAACAACAAATGGCTTAATGAATAAAAAAATGATAATTCAAACCCAAATGCACACACAACCCAAGACATCAGTCCTCACAGACATGCCCATCAATGCAATAGGAAATTGCTCACATAATGGGACAACATGAGTATATGCACTGCCAAAAGAATCACAAAGGACAATACATTCATCTGAAGGTTGGTAACACAGATATTATGTCACAGACAAACAACTGGTGCCAACCAGAACACATTAGCTACAGAATGAGACATTTCCAAGGATGGCAGCAACTTAAATATGCACTTGTGTAGTTTTACTCTGTAACACCAACCTACATAGGTCAGCAGACACCAAGTGGAAGAGGAAACCTGTGTGAGAGGAGGGGAAAACTCAGCACTACACCTTCATAAATTGAAATTTTACCATTCCAGGTATTTCAGAGAATAAAAATAAAAAATGTAATATGGCAGGGAGACACGGTATCATACATTTCTCACAAAGTGGTACTGACACCATTCAACATACATTATATGTCTAAACATGTGTTACTACTACCTGCATGCAAGTTTTCGGTATTCCTGAATCCTTGTTTCCAAACATCGCACCCAACAGTAACATCAATTACACTAATATATGAATCAGCGGAAATCTGATTAGATTTAATAGTACTTATGAATGCTGTATATGGCTAACATTCTCGGAATGCGACTACATTGTAACACTGGGCAGAAAAACCTTCTTTGGAGGTTATGTCCAAAATCATTCAATTCTCAATGACTGCCTACAGTAAAACCACGGTTTCTTGGTAAGCCTGCAATACAGATTCTATCTCTGGACTGGAATTAATAAAACAATGCAAAATTATAATATAAAAAATTCAGTTTCTTACTTTGTACACTTGGCCATAGGTTCCATTTCCAACAACTTCTATCAGCTCAAAAATGCCTGCGGGATCCTGAAAATGCAAAGAAACCATTACTGACCACAGAGAGAAAAGGGAGACTGAGTACAGACCTTAGCACTGCTATTTAAATAAATTATGTCCACAGAATATTCTCGCTTCTCAAAACTTTTAATCACAACGATAAGAAAACGTGAATAAAATACAGTACCCTACACCACGTTCCTAAACATGGTTTGGAAGAGACTGCTCATTTGACAAGCATGCCATTCTTAAATGAGGTTACTTAAAAATCTACTACTAAACTGATATTAATATTAGTAGTATGAAACAACCTTTAGAGCGTTTAAATCGATGTCATCCAACGAACAGTTTACACTTGGGGCCAAATTACACGCCATCTTGAAATCTTCTTGAACACAAAACACTCACGAACAAGGGTCACTATAACCCGCTCAAACCGCACAAAGACGAATTACTAGCACCTAGGAAAAGCTACAGGATTCCGGAAAACCCTAAACTTTTCCGCTACCTACATAAAAAACACATCATTTGATGAGGCGATTCAAAGATCCACTATCTTCCCATGTCCACACCTACCACGGATCACACCTACTCCACAACGCTTGAACTGTGACGTCACCTTTCTGACATCAGATGCAGGGAATAAAGTTGCCATAAACTACAAAACGAATGAAAAGTGTATATTAAAGACATGTTCATGAACATAATTTATTCTTACGTAAGTACAGATATCTTAGCACGTAAACGCTGCATACTGTCAATGTAATATCGTTACATCTGAAGAAATAAAATCTATTTCCATCACAAGAATATACTCTACGGCGGTAATTGCTAAAATCGTTAATATTTCCAACGCGAGATGGAACAACATTACACAGTTGCATTCGGCGCCATCTAATAAAGAGATGTGGTACTAGTTCAGCGAGTCCGTGAACTCGTGATTGACACAGCGAACCAGGTGAACACCCACCCCCGGAAACATTAATGTTGGGCAACATGACCGTGGTGACGTCACGTGGCATTACTACTGCCATCTATACGCAGATGTATCTTGACTAAATGAGAAATGGCCACCAGCACCGACAGCATGATCAATAAAATAAAATGCTACCATACCACCCTACATAATCTCCCCTCCTCAGCCCTTCGGAACCTACAAGTTCACATGAATAACAATACATCACTTTGCAACCACAGTGCCGCAGAGGTTCTTCATCCGTCTTTTTTCTGAATTTATGGTATGATTTAAACAGATAGTTGTAACTGTTTCGACAGAGAATGAGCAAAGATTCCTTCCGTCTACAGGAGGTATGTATACCAGCTGTTATCCAGCCATTATCCTTGAGTTTATTTGTTACATTTTGCTTTGGAAAGCATGACTCATAGACAAGTAAATACTTATATAAAAATGAGTTGAATATTTTGTTTACATCATTAAGTTTATATATACTCGTATTTTCCCATTTTTCATTAGATAGTTTATTAAGAAATTGAGCAATTGAGTCTTCATTTACTAATCTTCTTGTGATTCCCTGCACTTTTTCTT